TAGCCGTAATACGAACTTTAATAAAGATTTGGTGATTCAAACTTAAAAATAAATTATAAGAAAATCAAACAGATAAGAGAAACATGTGGTAGAATATATGAGAAACACCTTGCTGATATTGTGCTATTTTTAGACAGTTTAATCGCATTAAAACAAAAAAAAAATGTAAATTTAACTAAAACTTAAAGAAAATGTGATGGTCTGATTATACAACACTAATTGGTAAGGAATTCTTCACGAGTAATAACAAAATTAACAAGAACTTACATAATATAAAATATTCGTATTATATTTCCATAAATCTCAAATCATTTTAGAACACTTAAAGCAATATATGAATATTGCATAATATTATAGAATATAGGTTTTCCTTAAAAAAAAAAAATACACGCATATATATAACTATTCGAAAGTATTTATAAGAGAATGTTCATGTATCGTTTTCTTGTGAAAACGCCACAGGTTAGTCATTGTCAAAGTGTCGTTTTCTTAAGTTTTTGTTACTAGAGAAAGAAATCCACTTTGGCTATGGATTATAGGACCTATCAGAGTGGGTTAAGATCTTGAAACAAAGATATTGCCGAGCCATTATTTTTTTCCCATAGCTGAATTAAGAAGGCATCTTTTATTATTATTATTATTCAATTAAAGAAAATAAGGCATTCTTCTTTGGACCCTCACCAGTCACCATTTTACAAAAGAAAACAAGAGATTTTATTTTTTTATTTTTTTATTTTTTACGCTAGTCCAACTTAGGTGGACCCACGCACGAAGGAAAAAAAATAACAAGTGGGTCCCAAAGGACATTCAAAAATCAACAATGACCTAATCAGTTAGCATGCATAAGCTTGAAGCTTCATCTGCACAGTTTCTCTTAATATGCTCATTCTTATGACAATAATAAGACTTAATATTCTTGTTTGGATGGAATTGAGAATGATCATATCTTATCAAACATCGCTCTCGTGATTTACTTATATTCTTATTCGAATCTTATTGTGTCACCAAAATTTGTTCAGAGACGTAACACTAGGCTTTTTTTATATTTACAGTATTTAACAGAGCAGTCGACACCTCATCCACAGTCAACGTTGTCTTTCCAACTAACAGTGTCGTCACTAAAGTCACGTAACACTAGGCTTTTTTATATTTACAGTATTTAACAGAGCAGTCGAAACCTCATCCATAGTCAACGTTGTCTTTCCAACTAACAGTGTAGTCACTAAAGTCTCACATGATTTGGATAGGGAGGCCAACAAAATTACCGCTTTATATTCCTAATTAATTTGACTTCTACACTTAATAATTGAGTTATGCACTTATTAAAATTATTTATATGGTACCTAACATCACTTTCCTCATCTATCTCCAACTCGGACAATTGCTTCTTCAAATATAGTCTATTTGTTGGGGATTTTGACATATAAATTCTTTCTAATTTTTGTCATAACTTAGAAGGAAATGTTTCATTTATATCACTATATTTCAATTCATGAGCCAAACTTAAACAAATTGAGCTTACCACTCTCGCTTCTAATTGTTCCCAACCTTCATCTTTCAAATTTTGTGGCTTCTTTCCTTGCAGCGCTTTCAGTAAGCCCTGCTGAATCAAAACATCTTTCATTGTACTCTGCCATATGCTGAAATTACTTTTCCCGTCAAAACCCTCAAGCTGCTCAAACTTTATCTCAGACATCATCTTGATTCTCTTTTTTCAGATATTTACCACAGCTCTGATACCACTGTTGAGGAAAAATACACCCTTACACCCACGTAGCAGAAAAAATAAACTGAAACAAAAAATAACAAAAAAACAGAGAAGACAAAGATTTACTTGGTTTAGGAGAGTGAGAAAAAATTCACTAACAGTTTCAGAATTACACACTCAACAAACTTTCTCACTTTCTATCTCTACCCAAACCTTTTACACCCTTTGCATATCTCTCTCCTCACTTTTTTCTATTTCTCTAAAAAGGAGACACTCTTTAGCTGTAAATACGAACTTTAATAAAGATTTGGTGATTCAAACTTAAAAATAAATTATAAAAAAATCAAAGAGATAAGAGAAACATGTGGTAGAATATATGAGAAACATCTTGCTGATATTGTGCTATTTTTAGACAGTTTAATCGCATTAAAACAAAAAAAATAATGTAAATTTAACTAAAACTTAAAGAAAATGTGATGGTCTGATTATACAACACTAGTTGGTAAGGAATTCTTCACGAACCACCTATTTATAGACTCATATGAGCAATAAAATAATTTTTGCCCATAAATAGAAAACCGTAACTTACTAAAAAAATATAAAATAATTACTTTCCCACCACCAATTTAAAACAATTACCTAACATTTTGCAAATTTAATATTTAGATGATAATATTTTACAAAATTATGTATGATCTCAGTAGCTGTAAATACGAACTTTAATAAAGATTTGGTGATTCAAACTTAAAAATAAATTATAAAAAAATCAAAGAGATAAGAGAAACATGTGGTAGAATATATGAGAAACATCTTGCTGATATTGTGCTATTTTTAGACAGTTTAATCGCATTAAAACAAAAAAAAAATAATGTAAATTTAACTAAAACTTAAAGAAAATGTGATGGTCTGATTATACAACACTAGTTGGTAAGGAATTCTTCACGAACCACCTATTTATAGACTCATATGAGCAATAAAATAATTTTTGCCCATAAATAGAAAACCGTAACTTACTAAAAAAATATAAAATAATTACTTTCCCACCACCAATTTAAAACAATTACCTAACATTTTGCAAATTTAATATTTAGATGATAATATTTTACAAAATTATGTATGATCTCAGTAGCTGTAAATACGAACTTTAATAAAGATTTGGTGATTCAAACTTAAAAATAAATTATAAAAAAATCAAAGAGATAAGAGAAACATGTGGTAGAATATATGAGAAACATCTTGCTGATATTGTGCTATTTTTAGACAGTTTAATCGCATTAAAACAAAAAAAATAATGTAAATTTAACTAAAACTTAAAGAAAATGTGATGGTCTGATTATACAACACTAATTGGTAAGGAATTCTTCACGAGTAATAACAAAATTAACAAGAACTTACATAATATAAAATATTCGTATTATATTTCCATAAATCTCAAATCATTGCATAATATTATAGAATATAGCTTTTCCTTAAAAAAAAAAAACACACACATATATATAACTATTCGAAAGTATTTACAAGAGAATGTGAATGTGTATTGCCGAAAAATTTCTCCAAAATCAATCTTGATTTTTTTTTTTTTTTTTTTTTTTTTATAAAAATCTAAAGAAGAAGCGCTTTTCCTTCTCTACAAGAAAATTTGATGGAAATAGAAACCGGAGAGTTTCTTGTGTAAACGCCACAGGTTAGTCATTGTCAAAGTGTCGTTTTCTTAAGTTTTTGTTACTAGATAGAGAAATCCACTTTGGCTATGGATTATAGGACCTATCAGATTGGATTAAGATCTTGTAACAAAGATATTGCCGAGCCATACTTTTTTACCCATAGCTGAATTAAGAAGGCATCTTTTTTTTTTTTCTGATTAAATTAAAGAAAAGAAGGCATTCTTCTTTGGACCCTCACCACTCACCATTTTACAAAAGAAAAATAAGATAATTTTTTTTAATTTTTTAATTTTTTACGCTGGTCCAACTTAGGTGGACCCACGCACGAAGGGAAGAAAAATAACAAGTGGGTCCCAAAGGACATTCAAAAATCAACAATGACCTATTCAGTAAGCATGCATAAGCTTGAAGCTTCCTCTTGGCATAGTAGTTTGTTGTCATATGGGTAACCATATCTTCATATATATCATGCTCTGCCTAACAACCAATCGTTTTTTGATTAATTAATTTGGATATTAGTGGACCAGTTACATCAAATATTAGTGCATTGATGACCCAACTGAAAAGCTAACATAATTTATGGGTTTTTTTATTTATTTTTTATTTTTTTTATTTATAAATGAAGCTTAAAGACTTGGGTAAAATTAACATGGCAAACCTAACAAGTAATGGCCCAAGGATTTCAAGGTTTTCACATCGTTCTGAAAAGATAAGAGAAGACATTTGGAAAGTTGGCCTAAAGCCCTGCATGCTATTTGGGCAACCTGTCTTTTCAAGTCAAGCTAGTCATATTCCCATTTTAACATTCCTTTGTTAAAATATGTAAAGTTCCATACGTTAAAAGCCGTTAACTCAGGTACGTTTGTCCCCCCCCAAAACTTATGTTTTCAGTATTTCTCGTGCACAATTGGTGTGGAAGAATATGTTATATTAATGGATACGAATCTATTGGATTGTTTTGTGTAGAATTATTTTTGGTAGTGTTAGAGAGAGGAGAATTCTACGATGAGGTATGAAGAAAAAAGATACTCGACAGCACTGTAGTATTTTGGACCATCAAAGGTTCGAACTGAAGCTCAAATTTTTATACTAGAGTAAAAAAAATGTTCGAACTGAAGCTCAAATTTTTATACTATAGTCAAAAAAATGTTCGAACTGAAGCTCAAATTTTTGTACTATAGTCAAAAAAATATTCGAACTGTGATTCAAACCAATCCTGATTTTGATCATTTTATATAATTTTTTATTATAATATGACTTTAGAAAGTTCAAAATTTCTGTCCTAAAGAACAAAGACTAAAATGCTTTGTATGCTAAAATTGAACCAAAAAGAAGTAGGTTTTTTTTTTTTGCTAATAAAAAAAGGAGTAGGGTTTAAACAAAAAGATATGTAAAGCATGGATATAGAACACAACATATTCTACAAAACTTGAATGTGTCTGTAACTTTTTCCTTTTTCACGCTCCAACTTTGGCAAACAGCTTTCCACATCAAATCAAAGATTCACACCCAATTAGACACAGCGTCAACAAAAGAAACAAAGTAAGTGGGGGCACATGCTGTGATGGG